GCCCCCACCATCGCTCCCAGCACTTCTGGCTCTTTCCCTCAGTCTACAAACACAAGTGAAACTCTTGTTTTTAAGAAAAGTTGCACTCAACAACCTTCTGCCTCCCCTGACCTCGCGGCCCCTTTCCAGCCACCTCCTTTCTCAGTCAGACCTCTGGGACGGCAGCCTCTGCTCCTTCACCTCTCAGCAGTCCCTGACTGGTCCCCTCCTCTCCCTGCCTTTGTGTTCCTCTCCTAAGAGGGCACCAGCAGCTACCTCATGCCCAATGCGAGGGCTGCCCTCAGCTAACTGAGCTCCCTGTACCTTCAGCTGGTGATCGGACCGCCGCCTCTTTCCTGGTCCTTCTAGATCCGCTTCCCTGCTTCTCCTCCCTCCTCTTAGACAAACCCTCCTCCCCTCCCCCGACGTCTCCCTGGCTGTGGACTTGGCCCCTGGTCTCTGCAGACTCCACAGTCTTATCCTGCCTGGATCCCAGCTCCTCTCTCGTGTCCTGGCCCGCCCTCTCTCCATCCTCGGGTTCGGCATGGAGCTGGCTGCTGACAGCTCCTCCCACTCACCCTGCAGGCCCCTCTGCATCCAGCTGCACCCCTCAACTTCGGCTTCCTCCTTTATCTTTTTCTGGCATTCTCTATTAGTTGGTGTCACCCACATCCTCCCAGGAACCTAATTTGAGAGTCGTGTCTCCACTTTTTCAATGCCCACGTTCAAAGTTACGGTGGCAAACTGCAAATAATAGGGAATTCATCACGAGCGATGTCGCGTGCATACACGATGCTGTGTGGCCACCACCCTGTTCAGCTGTAGCCCATGTTCGTCACCCCTAGCACATGTCCTTTTGAGTCCACTGAAGGGTTCTCCAGTTGGTCTCTTCCCTCCTCACTGTGCCAATGTGCAGATCAGCTCATTGGCTTTCACCTACACACTCCCACACCCCCCCACCCCCACACCCCCGGCTGTTCACTGGCCTCAGGCCTCTTTCCCCAGGCCACAGTGATCTTCCAAGTGTTGCCAGTCTAGTGCTGCCTCACCCTCCAAAGGCCACAGGACAGGTCTGGCTTGTGTGCCGGGCTGGCAAGGCCCTGCGTTTGGCACCAACAACCTGGTCCCACACTCTGCTTCCCATAACCAGCCGCCAGAATGCGCCGAATTTTCCTGCCCCCGTGCCCTGGTACACGCTGTTCTCCTGCCCAGAGCACCCACTGCCCTCCAGCCTGGGGGCTCAGTGCAGGGGTCACTTCCTCCCGGACAGCCCTTCCTTTGGGTGCCCACTCACACCACTGGGCTCCAACTGCCTGGGCCCCCAGCCTGCTCATCACCCTGTGTGCCCAGCCCCTGAACAGTTGCCCCATCAGTGTCCCGTGGTTGGGACCTTGCTCTGCCTCTGGGGACTCGAGATTCAGATGAGGAAATGGATCAGTGGCTCTATGCTGGGCCGACGTGCTCACCAGGGACTCCGCTTTGGGGCTCCCGGTAACTTTCCTGACAATGGCGGGCGGCCCCTCCTCCCCACTTTCTGAGTCATTTCCAGGTTGAGGGCCAGGTGGCCGGCTGAGTCACAATGCCTTATCTTTCCAGGGAGCATCAGCATCCGCTGACTGGCGGCCTTGAGGTCAAGGGAAACAGGCCCATCATGCTGGTATTTTGGGATTTGGCACCGTAGGCCTGGGTGCCTCATCTGTGCCTGGTGACTTTGTAACTTGAGATCTTTCCCCATCAACCTTCATCTCTCCAAGTGGAAAAGGTCTGACTTCTTGAGGCTGTTCTGCAACCCCATCCTTCTTCCCAGCAGTTCTGAACCTGGTTGGGCTCAGTAAGGAAGGCTGCGGGCCTGCTCCCTAGAAAAACACACATTGTGTACAATTGGAGGTGGATTGTGAGTTCCTTCATGCCTGTCCCATTTGTGCACCTTCCAGGGCCCTGGTTCCCAGGGTGTGGACCATCACCCCACTGTGTAAGCAGTGACACACGGTAATCGTTTGACTGTGCGTGGACAGTTTATTTACAGAGGGTAGCGTATTGTTCAAATAGGAATCAGGTAGAGATTTTTAAGAGAGTTTGAGTGTTTTTTTTTAAATAATTATTTTATTTAATGTTATTCATTGTTTTGTTGTTGTTGTTGTTGTTGTTGTTTTAAGTTGACCAGAGAGAGAAAGAAGGAAAGTGAGAGAGCAAGCTGCCAGATCTGGACTTGAACTGCGGTCAGCCATG